TCTTAATATGAAGTTATATATGACTCACTAATTAAATGAATGGATAATTGCTTTTTGACCAGTTAATTATATTATGTTAAATAACATTTAAAACTTAAATTTTTTTAAGAAGAAAGAGATATAAAAAATTGATAAATTTCTATAAATTATTGTGAAATGTTATAAAATGTAATATAATTATTAATCAATAGTACACAGCGAAAAAATTTTCGGCTAACTTCAAGTACAATACATTAATAAACGTTTTTTTACAAGTGAATCAATCAATTTCCGAGGTAAACTCTTAATTAATTAAATTATTAAAGTACTTTTAATTATTGGCATTTGAGAAATTTTTATTCTTAAGGAAAGTTTGGAAAGAAGCATGCATATTCGTAGAATTTTTCCTATGTTATTTCATAGTTAAAAATTTAAAAAGTATATGAGTTCTTGAAACTAATGAGATAACAAAAACAAAAAAAAAAAGAAAAAGAATACTGAAATAATGAGTATATGTGAGAATGCTATTATCACAATGTGGGAAAGATAAAATAAATGAAACGTGATACGTACTGAAAAGAAAAAAAGAAACGAAAAACTGAATCGTCAACCAATAACCACGTACTTATTTTCGACAATGATGTTAAAATTTCAAAAAAAAATTTTTGTAAAAAGTTTTGCATAAATATTAAAAGAAATGGAAGAAAAAACTATTGCGAGCAAATTTTTCAATTGCGTCTAATATTTTAATTTAATCATTGATTTATAATTTATAATGATGAAAAATTAAGTATTCCATTACTGCTATCAGCTTTGGATTATTAAAAAAAAAGAATGGAACAAGCATATGATAATGTACTAATGAATTAGCTAAAATTTAGTTAGATATGATGATAAAATAAAATAATTAAAAAATATGATTAGTGACCGTACCAAAATTGTACACGTGAAAGTTTCTGTATCAAAATATATGAATGTATGTGTGTGCGTGCGTGTGTTAATATAATATGAATTAAAGAAAAAAAATCAAAAGTTTAAGGTTCAAATGATGAATTTGGACAGATGGTACGTGTATGTACACCATCTGGTTGAATTACACGTAAAAGTGTCCGGATAAATGCGTATACGTTTTTGTATGTGTATGTGTGTATGTGTATGTGTGTATGTG